AACCTTGGCCTTCTCAGGGGCCCCAAGCGCCCTGTCCCACTGCTCCTTGAGGAGGTGGCTATAGTCGCAGGCAGCAGGGCGCCTGCTTCTGGGACCGGTCAAGATCGTCACCTCCAGGTCACCGTTGGCACTGCCAAGATGCACACCTTGTCCAGTGCAGGCCAGGCGGTCGCTGAGGTTCTGCATGGTGGCTTCCCGTTGCCCACCAGCAGCCGGCCGCCCGGCCACGGCACCTGCATAGCCGCCGCGTAACCCCCACAGGAGAATGAGGACACGGAGCAGGCAGAGGACACCCACACGCCTCGGCCTCCCGGGCCTCTCGGGCCTCGCGGGTGCTGGGTGCCTCCCGCCCAGAAGCGCACAGTGCCCCCGCGCCATAGCTTAGGAAGTCATAGACAGAGGGCGCGGGACACTGGTCAGAGGAGCTGTGGTCGTCAGGGGTGCAATAAAATTATGTTGTTAATATATACACCAACATGGCTCAAAATTCAAAAAGAATAACAATGCACACGGGGAACAGTTTCCCTCCCTGTCCTGCCCAACCTCCGGAACCACAACACCAGTCTCTCCAGATCACCCAGGGAGGTCCAATGTGCGCATGCGTTTCCTCTAATACATGAACTTTAAAAGTTAATGTCATCTCAAAACCGCACATAAAAATCAGCATCACTCGCTTATGAATCGAAAGTAATGGTCAAAGTAAACATAATGAGTACAAAGGAAAATGAAATTCCTGGAGACTTTGCATTTTAACGGGCGGAGCCTGAGAGGAGTCCCGCGGAGACTGTCTTCGGGCTGAGTCAGCGGCGAGGGCAGGACTGGGAAGGGACAGCGTTCCCACGTGAGTCACGGCTGCACGCCCAGGCTCTGCCCGCACAACAGCTCACAGTTGGCAGAACATCCCTGCCTGGCCTGGCCCTGGGAAACTCGCTCCTTGGTAGAATCAGCGTTGCCAGTTCCTACCTGTGTTCCCTTCTCTGAGCATCACCACCCTCGCTGGTTTTTAAGAGAAAACAGCTCTCAGAGTCCCCGCCTAAGAGTGCAGGCCACCAGGCGTCTCTCGCTGAGTCCTCGTTCCTCCACCTGGTGGACATTCAGAGCAACTCACTCCCAAAAAAACGGGGACACGGCAGAGAAATATAAAGAAAAGCTAAGTCTCCAGGAATCCCCTGGGTGGCATGTTTTGAAATTTCTTTTGCTTTTTTTCAGGGGAGTTTTTTCTCATAATTGCAACCATGATGGATTTATAGTCTCATATAAGGCTTTGTGGTTTCTCACTTATTTCATGAGTATGTCCCATTTCATTAAAAAACTCTTTGACATTATATCTCACACTATTTGGTTCACAAAGTTTCTCGATGGTTTAAAGGAAAAGGCAGCATGTGTACACGGTGGCAACTGTTTCTACCCCTTCGGCCAGGCCCTGGGCAACTGACCAGGGGCTGCTGCCTGACTCGCAAGGCCCTTCCAGGAACTCCCAGCTCTGCCAACCTCCTCAGCCTCTACTCTCAGGAAAAAGCCAGAAACACGGTAGCAGCAACTCAGATGTCTATGACGACCTTCCATTTTACTAGTACAGCATTCCCTCTGAGGATCTCAGATTCCCTGTCCCAGCCCCCGTGGCAAATGACTCCGAATTCTCTTAAGATGGGGACAATATGTGATAGAAATGCTGCCCCACATTCTCTTTTGCTATATACTTTCATTGGTTTTTTAGAGAGAGAGGAAGGGAGAGGGAGAAAGAGAAGCATAATGTGAGAGCAGACCATCCATCAGCTGCCTCCTGCACGCCCCCTACTGGGGATCGAGCCTGCAAGCTGGGCATGTGCCCTGGCCAGGAATCTACCGGTAACCTTTCGGTGCACAGGACGACGCATATATGCATAACCCATGGACACAGACAGTAGTGTGGTGAAGGCGGAGGGGGTGGGTGGTATAGGGCAGAGGGGGGTCAATGGAGAAAAAGGGGGGCATCTGTAATACTTTCAACATAGAGATAAAATTTTTAAAAGAAAGATATTGTGATAGACCCCCAGCTGAGACAGTCGCCTACCTTGGCAAAGGGTCCCAGCAGTAGCGTAACTACTACCGCAGGAGTGTAACTCCAGGAGCGGAGGTGGGAGAGGGGGGAGGGCAGGGCAGGAGCTGAGACAGTCAGCCTGCCAGTGTCGGCTTTCATCATCTCTGAAGAGCCCACAGCACCGGCCATGGCAGCAGGAGTGTTTGGGGCCATCATGACAGAAGTCCAGCTTATAACCACACCAACCATGTGTCCTCTCTTTTCTCTAAGTCACCCGAACCTGAAGGAGCCAGCAGAGCAGGGCGGGGAGGGTTTGGGGGAAGGAGTGGGGTTGAAAGGAGAGTGAAAGACCAGATCCCCTTCCACTTGGGGTCGCTTTAAATTGGCGGTGCTGTTGAAGGTTTGAATTTTGCTGGACTGGACACTCTCATGCCTGAAAATGAGACTGTTCTTCAAGCTGGGATGACCTAAAAGCTGTGGGATCCTCCAGAGTCCAGAGCATGGCTGGACCACTGATAAATGATACTTTCCTGATGTAACCCTTCAAGCCCACCACTTTGAAGTTTTAAGCACTTTGTGTCCAGGAGACTGTTCTTCAAGCTGGGATGACCTAAAAGCTGTGTGATCCTCCAGAGTCCAGAGCATGGCTGAACCACTGATAAACGATACTTTCCTGATGTAACCCTTCAAGCCCACCACTTACTTCTTCCTCAAGTCCACCATTTAATGGTAATGCCATCGACATTTTAAAGGCACACATGCTAGGACACAGACTCTCCCCACACAGTATCCACCGAAGAGAGACCTTCGCACATGTACACATAGAGGTTTCCTCAAGTCCACCATTTAATGGTAATGCCATCGACACAGACTCTCCCCACACAGTATCCACCAAAGAGAGACCTTCACACATGTACACATAGAGGCGTGTGCAAGGATGCTCATTTCAGCAATGTTTGCAGTAACAAAAATAAGAAGCAAACAGCAATTAATCAGAGCATGATTAAGTAAGCAACGGCACAGCCGTACAGTGGAATACTACACGGGAATTAAAAAGGAGATTCGCGTAGAACATGACATCATTTATAGAGAAAGAAAAACACAGTCGCATCTACTTTCTGTGGGACATAAACATGTACAGGAAGTCCTGGAAAACCACTCACCAAACTGGCAACCGGGGAGATCAGAACTTGGGATTGGGGAGCATGATCAGAGGACTGTCCCCTTATCCATAAGATATTAAGCATAGCCATGCATTATGTATGTTTTAATTTTAAAAATAATTTTAAGAACTTACGTACCTAAGGGTCTGGAAGTCTAGATCCAACAGCCAGCACCACCAATGCAAAACTTTATGGATTGCCCGGCTGGTGTGGCTCAGTGGTTGAGTGTCGACCTATGAACCAAGAGGTCATCATTTCCACTCCCGGTCAGAGCACATGCCCCAGTTGCAGGCTTGATCCCCAGGGGGTGGGGGCGGGGTGGGGGTCGTGCAGGAGGCAGCCGGTCGATGTCTCTCTCTCTCTCATCACTGTTTCTATCTCTACCCCTCTCCTATCCTCTCTCTAAAATCAATAAAAACATATTTTTTAAACTTTATGGATATTTCTTATTTAATCTTAAAAATCCATGCAAATTCTATACTCCATAATATGTTTGTTTTGATATGATCATATTTTCGATGTTTACTTATTGGTTAAATTAGGCAGCTTTCCTGCCGCCACCGTCACCGAGGAGAGGCAGTCTGGCGTAGTTGGTTCTCCAAGAGGCACCATGACGCGGACCCGGGTCCTCAGCTTGCACCACCATTGTTCCCTGGGGACACGAACCCAGGGGAAGAGGCAAGCCAGCCTAGGCGGGTGTTAGGGGCTTGGAGGCCTGGTGCTGTGAGGATGAGATAAATGAGCATATGAGGTCACTGACACATAACAAGCTCTCAATGTCTTCGCCCTTTAGCACGGCCCTGGCAGGTGCCCGTTTGCTCTTGTCCACCGGAAGTCAGGGCCCCCCTCCCACACCACCCTCTCAGCGGCCAGTTCTCTGGGATCCCAGTCTCCACAAGGGGGCAGTACTGAGTGCTGGAGGGACCCACTTCTCCGTTCCCATTTCACCTTCCCACTTTCCCAGGGAGGTTCTGGCTGGGCCACGCAGCCGCCGTCCAACAAGGAACACTCCGATTAGGCAGTTTTCCGCAAACTGGCCCTCATGACTGCCTCCGGCTCAGGGACCTCATTTCTCACAGGTCATCTCTCACTCAGCCAGCCCTGGGCAAGGTCACAGGTCGTTTCCCTCCATGCACACAGCTCGAGCCAGAGTAACTTCATGGTGGCTGTGAAAAGGAAGTTTCCTCCATAACTCCAACGACAAGGAGCAAATGAGTGAGGGCGCAGCTGAGGAGCTGTGAACCCCACGCCTGTGTCTGCTCAGCCAGCCCCGGAGCAGGCAGGGACACACGCTTCTGGCCGGGCGGCTCTGGGGAGGAGTCCCCACAGCAGTCAGTTCCACCCCAGCCTCCCTCCTGCCTTCACTCGGGGTCGGACTGGCATCCAAGCTGTGGGCTCCATCTCTCCCCAGCCGTCTCCCCTTGCCAATCTTTGCACATGTAATCCCCCCTTGGCGTCTGCTTCTCAGGGTCCCCATTTCCTCAGAAAGGGGCTGTGGGCTCTTGGGCCCCCCCAGCCTTCCCCCGACGCCCATGACAGGGGCTCAGTGCCGAGGGTGCACAGTGTAAGGAGGTGCCGGGGTTAAGGGAGGGTGAGAAATGGTGCTGCTCCCCCAGAGAACTGAAGGGCGGATGGGAGGGCAGGGCCTCTGCGTGTGGGGGCAGGAGGGTGGCACAGGCCAGGCTGGAGAAGGGCAGGGCCCCTCGGATGCCGAGCCAAAGACCGGACTTTCTCCTCTCAGCAACAAGGAGTTGCTGAAAGTTTTGAGCCACTGACTCACATGACCTCATTTGTGTTTTCAGGAAGATTTGCCGGGTGGAGACTGAAGGCTGGGAGGGCAATAAGGAGGTTACTGCCCAAACCAGGTCACTTGTCTCTTCACAGAGACTTCACGCGGAAGGAGTCAGAGTGCAATCACTTTTATTAGTGCTGCTGGATTTTACAACCAAATAGCCCATTTACTGTACTGTTTTATTTTCTAGCGTGAAAGAGGCCTTCCGTGAATCCTCTCTCCTGCATCCCGGAGCCAGGCCCCAGCAGGCTTCCCTGAGGGACACAGCCAGGGGTGCCCACCCAGCCAGACCCTGAGGCCTTTCTTACCCCACCCACAACCTTCCTTTGGCCCCATCTCTTAGTTCCATCACCCCAGGAAGTCCCCACTTTGGCACCAGTTGCCAGGGGTCCCCAGGCCTGTCACACATCAACAGGCGATGGTCCCAGGCCAGCATCTCCCCTAGGGTAGGAAGGGCAGCAGCCTCCAGGCCCACCTGCGAGTCCCCAAAGGCCCCTCCGCCTCAGGGGTTACTCCAAAGCCCAGAAAGTGGGTCTTGGAGCTAAAACCGAGGAAGGTGTGAACCAGCAGGTAAGTGTGGGGCCAGCTCAGAGGGGTGGGGCCTTCTAATCTCCACCAGCAGCGGGGCCCGGGGGGTGGGGCGCATCAGGCTCTTCTCTCGGGTGGCAACTGGGGGGTTTCCTCCAAGGCCCCGACACTCCCTGAGCACATTCCAGAGGGAACGGCAAGCAAGGTGGGGCGGGTTTGTTCAGCTGGCACGGGCTCTGGTGGTTTTTAAACGGCTGTTGAATGGAGGAATGTGTTTGGGACGTTCTAGACCTGGTGGCTGATAGGATCTGAGCGTTGGCTCTGAGGTGGACGCTGACTGAACAGACGTGTGCCCAGGCGCTTCTCCAGGGGTCAGCACCACCTGGGAACCTGTTAGAAAGGCACGTTTGGGACCCGCCTGGAAGGGGGCAGCAGTAGAATGGGGGAACCAGCTAGAATTGTGAGAAATATGAATCCTGCTCTGTTAACCGTGATGCTTTGTCTGATTAGAGAAGGCACTGCCACCCTGGCTGGAGCTGCCCTGGAGGTGCAGCCTTCCTCCCCGTTTGGAGCTGCCTGTCATCATGGGAAGATGAACAAGTTGCTGCAGAAACCAGAGTCCCAGCCCTTTGAAGCCCCGGCCCTTTTGCTACCCACAGGCCTTTGCCGACCTCCAGCCTGCTCACCTGTTCACTGCCCACAGGCACCTCCTTTGGCTGTTTCCCCTGGAACCCCAGCCCCTGCATGTCACTCAGCCCTGGGAAGACCCTAGTCCTTCTGCAGATCTGTCAGCTGCCCTTCTGCCTGCTTTCCTTTGTGCTTTTGCTATATAAGCAGCCGGCTTATGGAGGGTGCAGAGCAGATTTCTGTGGCTGACCTGCTGCTCTCCCAGCTGCCGGCAGGACTGGAACAAACGCTCACGTATGATTCAACCCTGTCTCTGCTTCATAGTGACAAGCAGCAGGACCCACTGTTTGTCCGGTTACACGCCCACACCTACTGAGCCACACTCAGCCGCCTGTGCTCCCACAGCCACTGCTGCGGCTCTGAAAGGGTGGGTTTGACCTGCTCCAGATGGAGACACTGAGCAGCCGGTGAGTCTGCCTGCGCCCCGTCTGGAGGAGGGACGGGGAGCTGCAGCCCC